GGCCTCCTGGGGGGCGTTTCTGGGCCACGTGTCGTTGACCATCTTGAACCGTCCTGGGAGCCCCTGTGGCTGCCTTGGAGTCTGCGTGGGTCTCCGTTTGCCGTTTCCTTTTCTACCTGCTGCTCCTCTCCTGCTCCTCCTCCTCTACTTCCTGCTCCTCCTCCTCCTCCTCCTCCTCGTCGTAAGTTTCCTAGTCGGACAGGCGGCGACGATCATGTTTCCGGAAGGCTCGCCTCGAACATGATGAGGTGGGCAGTGCGGGGACCCTGATTCAGGGTTATCCAGCTGAAGCTTCTCGGCCAGACGGACGGGCCAGCGAAAGCACTTGCAAAGGTTGAGAGGGTGGTGAGACCTGGTATGGAGATGGGGGAGGCGCAAGGCTTCGATTGAAGAACGGCAGGGGCTGGAAAGGCCACGGCAAGGCACTGCGCTGAATTCGGGTGTTCGGTGGGACGGCGCGGACCGCCCCCCTCATTTTCGGCCTCCTGGCCAGAAAGGCGGCGACCATCATGCTCCCTGAAAGCTCCCAAGAAACATGGTGTGTGTGGTGTGGGGGGGGGCAAGATTGAAGCCCTCGTGGAGGTTGCCAGGGTACTTCGAAGGAGGCTGCAAAGCCCGAAGGACAGCCAGACTGAGCAATTCGAAGATGTTGCCATGGTGGTGCAGCAGCGAAATGAAATGGGAGATATGTAAAGTCTCAAAAAAAAAAACGGTAGGAGCTGGGCAGGCCGGGGCAAAGGATGATGGATGTCGAAGGAAGCCTCGCGGTTTGTTTGGGGGGCGCCGCTGTTTGGCCTTTAGGGGCCGATTTTGGAGCCTGGTGAGAATGCGACAAAGGCCACACGGGGGCCCCTTGGGGGCCGTTCCTGGGCCTTTCGTCGTTGCCTATCATGGGCCGTCTTGGGCGCCCCTGGGACCGCCTCGGAGCCTGCGCGGGTCTCTGTTTCCCGTTTTCTGTTCCCTGTCGTCTGTTTCCTCCTCCTCCTCCTCCTCCTCCGCCTCCTCGCCCTCCTCCTCCTCCTCCTTCTCCTCCTCCTCCTCCTCCTAGATTTCCTAGTCGGACAGGTGGCGACGATCATTCGGGGATCTTCTGACCCGGGTCAATCCAAACCCGGGTCAGCAGGAAACCAAAAACTGCAATGCAGGAAACAAAAAACTGCAACGCAGGTCTTCGCAAACCCGGGTCAGCCAATATGTGCGGCCGCCTCGCGGCCACGAGCGGCTCCCTGACCCGGGTCAGCCAGAGGGGGCCTTCGCAGGATCCTGCAGAATGCGGCGCCCTGGCTGACCCCCGTCTGCATAGACCCCCGTCTCAAAGCTCCCGAATCATGTTCCTGGAAGGCTCGCCGGGAATATGATGAGGTGGCCAGTGCGGGAAAACTTCTGTTTCAGGGTTATCCAACTGAGGCTGCCTGGCCCGAAGGACGGGCCACTGGAAGCATTTGCAAAGGTCAAAATGGTGGTGAGCATTGGTATGGGAATGGGGGAGGCGCAAGGCTCGACTGAAGAACGGCAGGGGCTGGAAAGGCCACGGCAAAGCACTGCGCTGAATTCGGGTGTTCGGTGGGACGGCGCGGACCGTCCCCCTCATTTTCGGCCCCCGTGCCGGAAAGGCGGCGACCATCATGTTCCCGGAAAGCCCCAAGGGAACATGACGGTGTGGGGCCGCATTGAGGTCTTCATGGGGGTTGCCAGGGTACCTTCAAGTAGGCTGCAAAGCCCGAAGGACAGCCAGAGTGAGCAATTCGGAGATGTTGTCATGGTGATTCAGCAGCGAAGTGATATGGGAGATGTGTGAAGTAACGAAACAAGAACGGTAGGAGCTGGGTGGGACGGGCAAGGAAGGAGGGATGTCGAAGGAGGCCTCGCGGGGGTTTTTGGGGCGCCGTTGTTTGGCCGTTAGGGGCCCGTTTTGGAGCCCGTTGGGAAGGCGTCGGAGGCCGCGCGGGGGCCCCTTGGGGGCCGTTCCTGGGCCTCTTGTCGTCGACCATCCTGGGCCGTCTTGGGCGCCCCCGGGGCCGCCTCGGAACCTGCGCGGATCCCTGTTTCCCGTTTTCTTTTCCGCGTCGTCATCCTCCTCCTCCTCCTCCTCCTCCTCCTTTTCCTCCTCCTCCTCCTCCTCCGCCTTCTCCTCCTCGTAGGTCTCCTCGTCGGACAGGTGGCGACAAGAGCGCGTGTGTTTATGTTCGGCGATGACGGGCGTCATGGGGGGGGGATGGGGCGGGGGGGGCATGACGTAACGCCCCCCCCCCCGCCGTGTGGCTCCGGCACCACAGCCGCGCCCGTGCGCACGACGCGACGAACGACGAGGGACGAGCGACGACGACGACGACAACGACGACGACGACAATGACGACGACGACAACGTCGACGACGACGCGAGCAGCATGCAGGTGGCGATCTGCCCCTACTGTGCTTGTGCACACCACAACGTTCGAGTGCACCACAGCGCGCGTGTACACCACAGCGCCTGCGTACACCGCAACACGGTGTGCAACGCAGCGCCTGTGTACGCCACAGTGCTTGCGTACACTACAGCGCCGGTGTACATGTGAACACCGCAGCAAACATGTGCAACCAACACAGCGCCTGTGTACACCGTGATGCTTGCGTGCACCGCAGCGCCTGCGCACGCCATGGCGCCTGTCTACACCACACCATCCGCGTGCAACTCAGCGTTGGTGTACACCACAGTGCCTGCGTGCAGTGGACAAGTAGAAGGAGCATGTACGTGCGGATCTGCTGCGGACAAGTAAACGCCACGCCAAGAAAGTGTTGATAATCGAATGCGGCGTCCTTCCCTCCTCCCTCCACCTCCACTTCTTCCTCCTCTTCCTCCTCCTCCTCCTCCTTACCCCCTGTCGTGCGGCTTGGCGCTGCAGCGCACGTGCGAACCTCAGGGTGCACCGTGTACTGCAAAACGGACAATTGAGTCGGTCCACTTGGTTTTCGGACGGCAAATTTAGCTGGAGCCTCCAGGACGCAGATGGGGGGAGTCAGGGTGGTGCGGGCGACTGGGGATGACTCGTAGACTCCAGCGGCGCTCCCTTGTCCATGAGGATTATGTTCTGCTGTTTCCTGTGGAATCCACAAGCGCTCCATTTGGTCGTAAGGATTTCTTCTGACAGTCTATATGCAACAGTGAAGCTGTGCTGCACGCGGTTGCTGTGGTGCACACAGGAGTCGTGGTGCCACGGGCACTGCAATGCACGCAGACATTGTGGTGTACACTGTTGCTGTGTTGCACACGGCTGGTGTGGTGTACGCAAGCGCTGTGGTGTACTCAAAGGCTGTTGTGCCAGCAGGCACGGTGCCACAAACTGACACTGTGTTGCAAGCGGCTGCTGTGGTGTACATAGGCGGTCTGGTGTACACAAGCGCTGTGGTGCACGCAGGCACTGTGGTGTACACAGGCGTTGCGGTGCAGATCGGCACCTACATGTTGGTGCTACCAATCCTCGTCATTCCTGGGCATTCCCAGACGCCGCCGGCGCGAAACGTGACGTCATCGACCCCTTCCCCCCCTGATGACTGGCGTCATCCAACCGCGTCCGCGCGCAACCAGGCTCCAACCGCGTCCGCGCGCACGACGACGATGAGCGACGAGCGACGAGCCACGAGCGACGACGACGACGACGAGCCACAAGCCACGAACGACGACGACGACGACGACGACGACGACGACGACGACGACGACGACGACGACGACGACGACGACGACGACTGCGGATCAGACTCCTATGCGAGTTCCCACGCGGACACCGACGCGGATCCCAATGCGCACGGCGGCAGTGCTCGAAACGCAGTGGGGCGGGAGCGTTACGTCATAGAGGGGGGGTGGGAGCGGGGGCCATGACGCCCGTCATGCCCCAAGCAATCAAGAAACGGGCTCCAATCATGTCCCCGGAAGGCTCGCCAGAAGCAGACGATGCGTGCCGCATGGGGGGCCTCGGTGTCACGGTTGTCCGATTGAGGCTGCCCGGCCCGAAGGACGGGACAGTGGAAGCATCTGCAAAGGTCGAAATGGTGGTGAGGTTTGGTATGGAAATGGGGGAGGCGCAAGGCTTCGATCGAAGAACGGCAGGGGCTGGAAAGGCCACGGCAAGGCGCTGCGCTGAATTCGGGTGTTCGGTGGGACGGCACGGACCGTCCCCCTCATTTTCGGCCCCCGTGCCGGACTGGCGGTGACCATCATGTTCCCGGAAAGCTCCCAGTGGAGGTTGCCAGGGTACCTCGAAGGAGGCTGCAAAGCCCGCAGGACAGCCATAGTGAGCCATTCGGAGATGCTGTCATGGCGGTGCGGCTGCGAAGTGAGATGGGAGAGGCGTACGGTAACGAAATAAGAACGGTGGGAGCTGGGTGGGACAGGACATGGAAGGAGGGATGTCGAAGGAGGCCGCGCGGGGACTTCTTGGGGGCCGTTGTTTGGTCTTGTGGGGCTGATTTGGGAGCCTTCTGGTGCGTCGTGGGGGCCTCTGGTGGTCCTCTTGGAGCCCCGTGGCAGCATCTGGGTGGGAGACTTCTTGGGGCCTCCTGGGAGCCTCTTCGGGTGAAAGACTCGAAACTTAGGTTCATGCTCCCCCTGTGGAGGCCATCTCGGGGCCGTCTTCAGGGCGTCGGAGGCCGTCTCGCGCGTCCCTGGGGCCGTGAAGGAGCTCTGTTGAGCCGTTTCGGGTCCTCGCGGGCGCCTCTGGGCTCATCCTGAAGCGATATTCGAGGCTTCTTGGGCTGTCGTGGATTGAGGAGTAGGAGGGGCACGAGGAGGAGGAGGAGGAGGAGGGGAAGGAGGAGGAGGAGGAGGAGGAGGAGGGAGGAGGAGAAGGGGGAGGAGGAGAGTGGAGGTGGAGGAGGAGGAGGAGGAGGAGGAGGAGGAGGAGGAGGAGGAGGAGGAGGGAGGAGGAGAAGGGGAAGGAGAAGAAGGACGAGGAGGAGGAGAAGGAGGAGCGAGGAGCCCCTCTTCCCTCCCCTCACCCCTCCTCGCCCCTCCCCTCAGAGGCCGCCTGCGGCTCGTCGCTGGCCCCGCCGACCTCGCGCTCGCCGCCGAGCGGCGGTCCCAAGACCACCACCCTGCGGAGGTGGAGCAGCAAGCTCGCTTCGCGGCCGCTGGCCTGAGTGCGGGGTCCGCTCCTCATCCGCCTCCCTCCCTCCCCTCCCTCCCTCCTCCTCCTCCTCCCTCCTCCTCCTCCTCCTCCTCCTCCTCCTCTCCTCCTCGTCCTCCTCCTGCTCGTCCTTTTCCTCCTCCTTCTTCTCGCCTCCCTCCTCCTCTCCTCCTCCTCCTCTCCTCCTCCTCTCCTCCTCCTCCTCCTCCTCATCGTCCTTCTCCACCTCCCCCTTCTCCTCCTCGCTCCTCCCCCCCCCCGCCTCCCCCTCCTCCTCGTCCGTTTCCTCGCCATCCTCCTCCCCCTCATCCTTCTCCTACTCCTCCCCTTCCCCTTTCTCCTCCTCTGCTCCTCCTCCCCTGCTAGTCCTCCTCTCCTCCTCCTCCTCATCTTCCTCCTCCACCTCCTCCACCTCCTCCCCCTTCTAGTCCTCCTCCTCCTCCTCCTCTTCCTCCTCCACCTCCTCCCCTTCCTCGTTCTCCTCCTCCTCCTCCTCCTCAGCATGCACCTCCTCCTCCCCCACTACATTCTTGCATCTCTAAGATTTCACCTCTAAGTCTCGATGGCAGAGTGGGAGATATGCTTCCACTGACTTCACGATCAGGGGAACATGTTGCAGTACTTGCGTACTTGCAATGACTTCCCTTCCTCCTTCTGCACATCGTGCTTATGCAGACTGTTCTGGTGTCTCAGAAATGCGAGATTCAGCTCCTGCAGAAGAACTTGCAACGAAAGTACTACTACGCGGGCCTCAAACAAGTAATTCTTGATAGGGCACCACTTGGTTCAAGATTCCGAAAGTCAAGACCCATGTCAACCCGGAGTCACTTGAGCGCCTCTCACCCGACTGGTATAAAGCCAGAGGCAATGAAGAAGCAGATGCCTCGGCAATTTGGAGGTTGAAAGCTGGGATTCCCAAGGCAGAGCGCTCAGTCAATATTTGCAGCTTGTACCCCGAGCCTTCGCACTGTTCCCCGACCTCCCAAAGGGCGGCTCAGGCTGGCAGTTTGCAGGAAGGGCAGGCGTCATGTTTGATGCACTCAACCATGCGCCTGAACATAGCCAAGATGTGTTTGGAATCCAGAGGTCGGTAACCGGTGCTCGTGCACATCGGGAGCAGTCCTCCCCTCCACCTTCCCCTCCTCCACTCCAGCAGCTCCTCAGGCCGTTGGAGGCGACCCCAACCAGAATGGCGGAGGAGGAGGAGGACGAAGACGAGGAGGAGGAGGATGACAACGCGGAGAAGAAAACGGGAAACAGGGACCCGCGCAGACTCCGAGGAGCACTGGGACACTGGGCCTCTCCACTGCCAGCCGCGAAGCACCAGAGAGAGGCAATTGGCCCGAGATAGTGGGCCAAGGCGATCCGCCCTCCTGATGAGGGGCGCAACGCTTGCCGTCGCTCGGACGTCCATTTCCCGTGCATTGCTCGATGGTCCAGAATGGTCCTCGATTCGTCAAGAACGGAGCCTCACCTATTTAGCGCAGTGTGTTTCACTGTAGACGCGACAATACCCTGTATGTTACAGATCATCCACCTAGCATTCCAATTATATGTTGTGCTTGTGGTAGGTAATATGAGGATGCCAAGGCGCATGGGTTGGAAGAACAATGCCACCCAACCAAAGCCTCCAACATACCTAAGTCCGAGTGGAGCCGCGCTGTAAAGTATAAGCCCCTGAACTACAGGCGGGGCAACGAGATCATCTTAGGGGATCTCCTCCCCTTTGACACGATCTTTGAGCTCAGGCAGGGGCTGGAGGTGGATGCTGCAACTCCCTCATCCTCTCTCTCTCTCTGGGGCGGAGCGCGGTAGAGCCGCGTCGGCATCGGCAGCGCCCCTAGCGAAGCCAGGGGGGGCAGCTGCTGGCTCACAAGGCTGGCACGGCTTAGATTCACCCTGAAGCTTGAGAGTGGGGGTAGAGGATGCGGGGGTGGTCGTGGAAGCAGGGATCGGTGGAGCCGAACTCGAGCCCCTCCAGGAGACGGGCACGGCCAGACAGAAGTCAGACAGCGTCGCTCGCGAAACTGCGGGCCGCTGGGGGCGCTCCTGTTGTACAACACGGGGCGTCCACAACGACTGTGGCTCTTGCCGCAGCGGCTGCAGCGGGAGCGAGCAGCAGTCCTCCCAGCAGCCCGCGTGCCCAGGGTTCCTCAACTCCCTCCTCCTCCTCCCTCCTCCTCCTCCCTCCTCAACTCCCTCCTCCTCCTCCTTCCTCCCTCCTCCTCCTCCCTCCTCCTCCTTCCTCAACTCCCTCCTCCTCCTCCCCAGGTCGGCATCGGCAGAGCCCCTGGCTTAGCCAGGCGGCCAGCTGCTGGCCGAAGAGGCGGGCCTGGCCAGGTTCCGCCCGAAGCGGAAGTCAAAACAAAGTCCTCCTCCTCCGCCTCCTCCTCCTCCCCCTCCCCCGTTCCCTTGTAAATCGTTCCTCCCTGTGTCACGCCGAAACGTGTCCGTAGGGCTTGTAAATCGTTCCTCCCTGTGTCACGCCGAAACGTGTCCGTAGGGCGGCCCGCGTGTTCCGCCTGAGACGCCCCCCCCCCCCATTCCGATATCCTGAAGCTGAGTTCTTGCAAAGCTTCACGCATGGAGGGCGCGCCTTTTTCTGAATATGGCTCTCGCCGTAGCGCCGCGCAAACTTGCGCTATACAATAGCATGGGGTCCACGGATGGAGAGCGGGTAGGTTTCAAACTGCGGCTACCGCCACAACGCCGCGCACATCCGTCTGAAACGTTTCCAGGGATTTCACGGGTGGAGGGCAGGTGGTTTTGAAAAAGTTGCTATCGCCTCAGCGCAGCGCACACTCGTCTTACAGATCAGCGAAGGCTGCACGGATGGAGGACGGTTGGTTTCGAAATCCGCCGACCCTGTCGGCGTGTGCGAGGGGCTTGGCTGTTCGAGTCGTCGTCTCCGTCGGTCGTCGCCTCCGTCGTCCCCTTTCCCTGCAGCTTCCTTCTCAAGCTCGTGAGCGAGAGAAAAATCTAGCAGTGTCCCTCCCCCGCCGGGAGGGGGGGGGGGGGTAGCGACCCCCCCCCCGGGTCAGATACGACGCCCCCCCCTGGGACTCCTCTTCCCCTGGGCTCCAGCCAAGCCGACCTTGAGCAACCTCGTAATTGAGTCGAAGGGAAGCCCCTTCCCTTTGATCCCTCCCCCGCCGGGAGGGGGGGGGGGTAGCGACCCCCCCCCCCGGGTCAGATACGACGCCCCCCCCTGGGACTCCTCTTCCCCTGGGCTCCAGCCAAGCCGACCTTGAGCAACCTCGTAATTGAGTCGAAGGGAAGCCCCTTCCCTTTCATCCCTCCCCCGCCGGGAGGGGGGGGGGGGTAGCGACCCCCCCCCCCGGGTCAGATACTGGGATCGATGGGCCGTTTTCTAAGTAGGTGTGTCGGTTACAAATATCTATAACAACGTTGTAACAAGGCTATAACGTCGTTGTAATTTGTCAAAGGCCGTTGTATATGGTGTAAGTATTTCTGCGTTGGGGCTATGTAGATCGCACGTTTGTTTCAGGATTAGGAAGTATTGGAACATATTATAGTGGATGTTATTCTACTTAGGCGAAGTGAGGTTTTCAAGTTCCTGAGGTTAGCATGAATTTAACAACATGGTTACATATATGTTGGATCCCCCTGGTAAGTTATGTTGAAAGGGGTTCGCTTGCTTGCAAAACGGGAACCTTGACGAGTCTGAGGCTGCGTTTCTTCTCAGGGCGGTGCCCCCCCTCCTCACCGCAGCCCTTTCGGTCGAGTTGTTTGCTGGCAGCGGGGAGGCCCGTTTTGAGGACAACGATGGCGTTGGATGCCATCGAAGCAGTTCGCTCTGAGATCGAGGATTGTCTTTTTAGTTACAAGCATGGCGACTCGAAGCAGATCAAGACAGTGGGTGATTCCGTCATCCAGACGCTCTTGAACAACAACCTTGCATATCTACAGATATGCGACATCGACGAGATAGGAGTCAGCAGCATGAACAGGGACGGTCTAGGACTCGACGTCGTCGACGTCCACGAGCTCATCCCAAAGATTTTGGAGAGCGGGTGGAGCCTCTTCGAGGTTGCCGCGGCCACGCTGTTTTGAAATGCCCCCTGGAGAAGCAGGAAAAGCCGAGGCTGCGTTCAACGAGAGAATTGTCAAGGAGTCCGAGGGGTATTTGGCACCGTTCGTCAAGCCCATCCATTTTTTGACGGTGTCGAGCAGCCGCACCGTCGCTGGATGCCGCGCCACGAAGTGCCCTTGGGGGGCGCGTGGGGGAGGGGATGGGGGGGGGCTCACGGCAGAAGCCCTTTGGTCTGCCAGACCCGCCCCCTCCTCAGGACGAACGCCCGCGGAGGTGAGAATGTATAAGGGCCCATGGCCCTTGTACATTCTCACCCGCCCTCCCCCCCTTGCTCCTCTGACCCGCCCCCCCTTCCAGCAGGTACGCTTGCAAGACCAACCAGAAGGAGATCGCCAACGAGGACGGGACCATCAATCGGGACAAGGTTTTCCACATGGCCCCGAGCTACATGCAGCCCATTCAGAAGGGCATCCAGTTCACAGTGATACGATGGGAGGTGTTGGCCGCGTTCCCCGATCTCGCGGACCTGCTTCAGCAAGCAGGCAATCGAGGTCACGATGCACACCAGCAGCTTGGACTGGTGCAGGTTCTTCGTCAGATCCACGAGCGCGCGAAGCTCTACAAGACTGGGAGCGCGATCGATTGGCCGAAGGTGTCCTGGGAACCCGCGGGAAACTCGCCCCTGGAGATGCGTCGTAGGTTTTCGGGAGGTGACCCCAGCGGAACGCGATAGGCACACGTGCGCGGCAGACGCCGCGCACGTTTGCTGTCGTGAGCCGATGGGGTCACCTCCGACAGGTGCAGCTCAGGGTCAGCCAGAACGCGCCGCACATGGAGGACGCGATCGAGGACATGTGCACATTCGTTGGCAAGTACGGCGGCGGCACGACCCCGAAGTTCATCAACGCCCTCGAGCAGTGGAGCCGATCGCTGAATTCTCGGCGAGCCGTCCACA